AATAAGCTTCTCTATAGCTAGTCAAGTAGAATTATGAGCTTGACTAATCATCCTCCTATCAAAATATTATTCTTTGTTTCGTTTCTTTTTCTTACTCAAAGACCGTAACAATGGTAAACATAGCGTAGGTAACTATGGTTGTTGACATGGTACATAATTATATTTTTAGTTGAACAGTATAAAATGATATTGAGTATAGTTGGGTAAAACATAATTTCGTATTTTCGTCATAAAGGTCTAAATTGAATAAAATCAATAAATGAGAGAGGTTAACTTTAATTTAAGAAAATAATTTGACACAAAGAATAATAGTTGACGAAGGAAAAGTGTAATTTACCCAATATAAAAATGAATGATCCTTCTTAAAAAAAAAAAATTATTTTTTATTTTTTTATTAAATTGCATTGGCCTCTTTTGAGTTTGAATAAACAACAGTTGCTTTGGAAATAAATCTTTAACCTACCTTCCAAAGCACCCAACTTCTAAGGTACTATAGAATATATGTATATATATTTATACATATCATGCATATGTAGAGAGAGAGGGAGAGAATGATCTCTTCCTGCCTTTTGCTTGGGAAATTTGCAAGAAATCTGAAATGAATGAGAGTCAAAGAAAGGGATGTTCATGTTCCATTGGATGGGTTATGCGCTTGGCCATCTTTGGCAAGGCATATGTGCTAGCTAAAAAGAATAATAAAATAGCAGGCAAATGTTGAATTTAGCACAAAAAAATACATTAATAGATAAGATTTTTTTTCTTCAAAAATGTGTTGGAACAATCTTCTATGTAAGAGAAAATAATGTGAAACAAATCAAACAAATAAAAATAAATTATTTACATAATTTATTTACCGAAATGAATAAGTACAAAATTAATCAAGTTAAGTGTGTGACACTCTATCCTTAAAACAGATTCGCCTCGTTCTGGTGCTTATGAATAAATGGCGTCTATCTCCCAAGAAACAATGATCTTACACAGATTGTAATAGCACTCCAAACAATCTGTACGGCGAACTAGAACCTATGTTCTATACTCTCAGAATTTTCTCTAAAAAAGATTATTATGTAGAAAAATGCAAAGAGAGAGAGCAAAAACGAGAAGAGAATTGATTTTTCTGAATGTGAAAATTTGCTGGAAAAGGTCTAGTATTTATAGGCTAATTGGTGACCTTTAGAAAAGGCCGAACAGGTATAATTTTGAATTGAACAGTTGCAATTCAACTAAACGTACAGATACAGATTCAAATTGAATAGGTATGGTATTTAAACTGAACAGGTCTGGAAAGAAATTGAACCTGTTCGGTGCACAGTTTGAATATATTTGTTTGAACCTGCTAGAAATTGGACTGGAGAAGGCATTGTTTTGGACAGAAAATTGGATTCAAATTTGGCGCAAAATTTGAATTAGTCCTCGTTTGGCATATAAATTTTTTAGGCTTTTTGGCTAAAATAGCTACAAAAAAACAAAATAGACCAAAAAGCCAATGAGAAAGAAAATGTCATATTCAAATCATAATCATTTCATTTTTTTCTTACAAAAGTCAAAAAAGCTAAAAAATCAATCCCAAAAGAGGCTTTTTTAACCCGAAAACTTTATGTGTTGGGTGAGAAGTACATTTTTTAACACAATCGCACAGTTCTTACGAAGCTAATTTTGAATTAATTTGCTAGTTTTTTCCATCAGCAATGCTAAAGCTATGTTTGGGATACTACTTTGGGCTAAAATAATTATATATGACAAAATTGGCTATTTTAGTTAAATAGGACAAAATATTACATCTAACCGATAATCATTTCATTTTTTCTCTCACAAAAGTCAAAAAAGTCAAAAAGTCTATCCTAACTGAGGCTGCCTTCATTTGGAATGTAGGTTGGTTTTTTATTTTTTTGGTTTTTTGGCTAAAAAGTCTCATTTGGTAGGAATGGCAACGAGGTGGGGCGGGGCCGGGGATGACCCTCCCCGTCCCCGAAGGTAGAAAAATCCCCGTCCCCGGCTCCGATCCCCGGTGGGGAACCCATTACTTCTCCCGCTCCCATCCCCTAACAGGGATCGGGTTTTCCCGACCCCAAAAATTCCCCGACAGATCTGTTCAACACACAAGAACCCAAAAAAAAATATATATATATATATATGTCTAATGAACGATAGAACAGATCTGTTCAACACACCCACACAACAACAATCATCAACAACAACAGATATATATATACATAACAATCATAAAAAAAAAAATTGTTTATAACGGACGGACGGAACGCTTCACGATCTGACGTAGGGCTTCACGATCTGACAAAGGGCTTCACGGATGGAGGACTTCTTCACTTCTTCAGATCTGTTCAGACGGAGGGTTCACAATCTGACGAACGGAGGGCGTTACGGATGGAGGGAGAGGGAGAGGGAGAGGGAGAGGAGATGGAGGAAGAAAGAGATGAAATTGAGATTTGAGTCAGTGAGTGTGAGAGAGAGAGAGATGAAGGCCACGGTGAGAAAGAGAGACAGAGAAGTGAAACTGAAAAATAGGTTTGGTTTCTATATATATATATATATATATAGAAGGGTAAAAGAGTAATTTCACTTCGGGGATAAAACAGGGATGGGGACGAGCCGGGCCTGAGACACTTATCCCCGTCCCCGGCCCGAAATTGATCAGGGATTAATTTTTGAATACCATCCTCTCCCTGTTGGGGACATTTTTTGGGAAAAAATCGCTCAAATCGGGGTCGAGGAGTGGGGTCCCCGTCGAGCCGGGTTCAAATTGTCATCCCTATCATTTGGGATAAACTTTTTGGCTTTTTTGACTTTTGTGAAAGAAAAATTGGAATGATTATGATTTAGATGTGACATTTTGTCCTACTAGGCTAAAATAGCTAATTTTGTCCTAAAACAACTATTAGCCCTAGGTTAAAATAGCCAAAAAATTAAAAAGTTGACTCATATCCCAAACGAAAGCTAAGTATTAAGAAGAAAAAAAATTAAAAAGAAAGTGTTTAGAGTTTAAATTGTATGAATCAAATTTATTCTGAGTAGGGGTGTTCGCGATTCGATTGCGGCCGAAAAACCTCTAATCCGCATCCGTCCACCGAATTGACGGATGCGGATTGGCGGATGGATGCGAATCGGTTTGACGATTTAAACTTTTACAAATTTTGAACATAATACAACAACTTGTCAATATTTTTTTTGGATAACAATCCAACTCAACATAACCAAAAAATTATCAAGTAAATTGTTAAATACCAATAATAAATATATATAAGAAAATCATGCATTATCAAAACTATTTCATTACTTTTTTTTATATTCAAAAGCTATTTAATATGATTTTTTTTTTTAAATGATAAAATTAAGTCTTATATTTTCCACACAAAAATATCAAATATCAACCCTTGCTATTTGATAAAAGGATCTCCAAATTGAAAATAAATTGAAAACACAACAGAATATCTAAACTTTTTTCAATTGAAAACACAAATAGAATATTTAAATAAATTGAAAATACAAAATCTTACAAATTACTAGAGATGTTCGCGGTTTGGCGGTTCGGTTGCGATCAAAAGAATATCAAATCCGTTATCTGTACAAAACTAGGCGGATTAGAAAAAATCAATCCGCAACCGTTTACTCGTCATCATGCATCCGTCTAAAATGCGACGGATCGGATCGATTCAATCGACTTGAACGGATCAAAATATCCACTACTCACCCCTAATCCTGAGTATAGTCCATACCACATAAATCAATATGAAAGCTACAGTTTGGAATAAGACTAAAAATAATAATTTCTCCTCTCTATATATGGATTTGTTAATGGAATAAGATTAGAAAAACAAAAACAAAAAAACAGTTTCTCTAGCATTCCTGTCAAACGATGATCTCTTAGTTGCTATTCCTTTGCATGTCATCCTTTAATGAACACTTTCTTCAACTTTTAGCTTTAAAAAATTTATTTTGCTCCCTCAATTTTTAATTAACTTGATTTTAATTCTTAATTTTGAATTTTGTATCAATTTGATCTAATTAATATGGCTGGTTAGGGTTTTTGACAAAAATTGTCACTAAATTGGCTGCGATTAACTCATTGAATTAAACAAATTTACAATTTTACTTTTAAAGCACGACACAAGCCAAGCTATTCAACATGCACATTTTCTATCAAAAATACTAGTAGGAGTAATCGATTAAACAAAATTGATATAAAATTATAAATTTAATATCAAAATTGAATCAATTAAAATTATAAAAACCAAAATGGCATAAACACTAAAGTATAGGGAACTATGGGTGTAATTTGTCCAAAAGAAAAATTACTTCTTTTGATCCATACGAAGCTCTGGAAGACTGGATTTTCCCAATACCCAAACACCTTCATATGAGAAAATTAAATCCCACACAAACCAACCATCTACATCTCATCTCAACCGGTATTCAACCTAATCTTCGTCTCAAAATATTTGTCCTTTATTCTATTTTTTATTATTCTAAAATATTAGTTCCTTTTTCAAAACTCAAGGAATAAAATAATATAAATTTATTATTTTGCTCCTCTTTTAAATTTATTAATAATATAAAAAGCATAATTATGACAATTGATATTTTTTAAAAAATATACTTTCAAAGGATAATTGTAAAAAATTAATATTTTTAAAATACAATAGTTATACTATCAAAAAAAAGTTAAATTCCTTAAAAAAAGACTTATTTTGGGATAGGAGTATTACGATTTCAGGTTTTCTTGAATTCTATCATCATAAGCTGTATCAGATAAAAAAATAGAAAATAAAAAATAAAAAGAAATCTATCACCGGAGACGAGAAAACAATTTCTTCAGAGTTCTTCTTGCACTACTGGACCCTGTTTGGTGAGCTGTTTAATAACAAATTTCAACGATTTTTAGAAACTCATTGGCATAAAATCCCAAATTCACTACATTTAGATCATCGAAAACAGTTGAACTGAAAAAAAAAAAAAAAAACGAGAGAGAGAGAGAGAGAGAGAGAGAAGACAATACAGATCCAACTTATATACAAGCCAAGAACATTCAACAATGAAGATCATTTTTGTTAACAAACAAAGCACAAAGAGAGACGAAGACATTTATCAAAAGCAAGTTTAACAACAGTCATGACACTGTTTTTGTTTTTTTAGGTACATTGAAAATTAAAGCAAACAAGCAAACTAAAAACCCAAACCAAACACACCACACAAACGAAGAAACTAAAAACCCAAAGAAACCCTTCTCAAAGGTGACACTGACATATATCACCAGCGGTGATCTTGAAATCGGAACGACACAGACTTTCAACTATGGCAGAGTGGCCTTGCAGCCAAGAAACTCGAAAACAACCGTCAAACAGCTTCAATAACCAATTGCATCTCGATCAGCAAAGTACTTCGCAAGAGAATTAATTGGCTTAGTAGTATCAAGATTACCCATTTCCCGACGCCTAATTTTGATCCGAGCAAGGTAATCAGCAGCAATCCAAGAAAAGCTCAACATCACCATCTTCCCAGAACCATCACTCTCTTGTAACTCAATTGACTTCTTCACCCAACTAGGATGGTAAGCGACTTGGTACCACGCTGAAGCCTTCCGTTCATACATTGTATTCTTAGCATCATCGGAGAGTTGATTGAAATCCAAGCCCATTTTCTCAAAAGCTTGTCTGAACTCTTTACGAAGGGAATTGTAAGCATGCTTGAGCTTCTCTTGCAAATCTCCTCGCTTCCGGCTATGGTACTTCGGCATGGACCATATGTGGCCAGTTACAATCTCCTCTTCCCTAACCACTTTATACTGCCCAAGAAGACCATTCAACTGCCCATCATAAGAGCACTTGTGCTCCCACGCATCAGCAATGAAATCCACGGATCCTGGAATCTCAAGATCGCCATCATAGGGAATGCTTTCAGGAACAAATGTTTGCTCCGGATATGCTTCCACATCTTCATCATAAGCATCTGTGATTTTACGATAGAGTCTTCCCAAAATTTTTTCTGACTTGTATGACCGAAAAGCTTCTTTGCCCATGAAGTCAGGATACATTTTTGGTTTCAGTTTAGGTGGCATGGTCACGATCTTTCCGGTTTTGGGAAAATCAACAGCTGTGGCAGCTTTCTCTGCCAGTGTCAGGCACTTCTCATCCAGTGCTCCGTATTCACTGCGGTCTGCATGAACCACATGGGCATTGCATATTGTACCCAAATTCTCGTTCACTATGTTTCTAGTAAAGAAATCAATTATGTCCTGTAAATTAAGAAAAACATAAATATAGTCAGAGAGTAGTTCTTCATGCACCATCCTCACATCTTTTTCCTGAATGACTAATCCTCATATAGCACAATGTGGATATCTGAATAACTACCGCCACACGGGCGGCCCAAGTATTAGGGTAGTTAGGCAACTGCTTTAGTTGCCCCCATATCTGAGAAGACCCCTACATTTTCTAGACCCGTAGTGAATATACTTTTCTATTTGGTAAAGAGCCTTAATTGTGGCCCTTAGTAAGGCCCCAAATTGGCAAAGCCCAAAACTGCAATCAGTGTGTTTGGTTTGAATTTTTTAGGTTAAGTTTTTTGAAAATTGAGTTTTTTGATTTTCGTATTCTTTTGTTTTTAGTAAATATTTTTTAAATTTTAAACATTTTTTTTTTACTTTTTTAGATGCACTTTAGTTAGATGTATCTAAAAAGTAAAAAGTTTGTGAAAAAATATTTTAAAAAATTAATAAATACAAAAAAATACAAAAAAATGTACTGAATTCTTGTATTTTTTTTGTATTTTTGGTATTTCGTGAATTTTTAAAAGATTTTTTTTACAATTTTTTTACATTTTTAGGTGTATTTATGTTAAGTGTGTCTAAAAAGTAAAAAAAATGGCTTAAAATATTAAAAAAATTCAGTAAAAACAAAAAAAATATGAAAAATAAAAAAGTAAAATTTTCTGAAAAGTGTTTTCTAAAAAATGAAAACAAGCAAGCTGAAATATTTCTCTAGGCAGCAAAATTCTCATGTGGCCAAACAAAAAGTAAAGCCTTATGTGTCGTGTCGCATGTCCATGCTACTTTGAATTTTTTTTAAAACATGACATTTGAAATGATATTGAGATGGTTTAGATCTATTTCAAAATTAAAAGTTTCAAAACACAAATTATAAAAATAGAAGGAAAAGAAAACAGTCTTGAGGAAAGAGACGCATTGACCTAGTAATATCTCGAGGGATGTATCATATCTAACACTAGATAATAATAATAGAAAAAAATATATATTGAAAAAGAGAAGTAGAAAACTACCTTTTGATTAACTGGTCGAGGCAATTTTTTAACATCTCCTGGTTCATAGTCCATTGGTGGATAGCTTCTCTTACTAGGCGGAATGAGATTTTCATCCCACGTGGCAAAATAGAGATCACCGTCAAGGTCACTTCCGGATGCTTCATTTGTATGTGGTCTATCTCCCTTTTGAGGGAAAACAACACAATCAACAAGATGATGCAACCCAGGGGCATCTACTGCTTCTAAGATTCGTATGTCTCCTGGGTGAAGACATGGGTTCTTTGCTATAACAACAAGACCCTTAATTACTTGAACATTTTTCTTTGGCTTGGAAAACCTAGAGCCATGGTTCACAAAACAATTTTCCAGGGAAGGATTCGATACTTGGATAAAGCATTGACCTTGTTCAAGTACCGCTAGCTCATCTAGGCATCCCATCAACCACCTTCCTGAATGAACAAATATCCTAGACTTTTCTCTCAGCCCCCAGAGCTGTGCAGCTCTTATACAAGTTAACATGCCTCGCAGATGAGGTTCATTTTGAGGATTGAAACCCGCACTTAACATCATTGCTCCTACATTTCCTTGCTCAGCACATGATGCGGTAAGAACATCAAACGCCACATCTGCGTCTTTAAGCATCTTATCTAGCTTAGAAATCATAGACTCCTGCATTTTCCAGAATATTTCATCCGGAACATTCAAAGCAGAAAGTAATGTAATTATCTGCCGGTTTAGGAATCCAGGCTGGAATCTAGTCCAAGAACAGATTTCAAGAATCGCGTGCTTCGACTCAAACTTATTCATACTTTTCCTCAAGGAAAGCCGAATCTTTTCATTCTTTCCCGGCCAACAGGCAATAACCCCTTTGCAACCAGCATATCTAATCTGATAAGCAGATGGTGGGTTCACACACAATTGCAATCTCTCTGCCACTTCCTTTGCAAGGTCCGGCGTCATCTTACCGATACCATCTGAGAAAACATACCCATTTCTCTCAACGTCGGGCAGCTTAAAGTTAACCTCCTTGTGTGGAACTTCAATCGTGGCGTAAGTGGATGAGAAGCACTGTCCCATCCTAGCAGCACACTTTGCAACATTCCTGTCTGTGAACTTGCCCATCCAACCTTTTATATCAAGCACACTGATATCCTCGTCTTCAGCAAAAAACCATGCAGAACGATCCCTCAATTGATTAGCTGAAAAGGCCAAAAATGAGTACGTTCGACCACATAATTTAAACCCATCACTTAGAATACTCTTTACCCTCTGGAACACTGAAGTTTTCTGAGGGGCAGAATATGAGGTGATGTCCTTGACGATGGAAGCAACATAATTGTTAAGAACGTTGGAATTAAGTGTTTGCATGCCTTCATCCATGAAGGTAACCCTTAAAAACCGATCAGCAACTTCTTTGTAATTCCTGATAACCCTGTTGGAAAGTTCAACTGTTGGTGGAAGACAGTAAGCTTTGGTTGGAGTAATAACCAGCCTTCTGACTTCAACAACATCATCCAATTTTGTAAGGCTCTTAAGAAGCTTAGGGTTTTTCAGCAACCACTCTTGGACGAGTTTCAGCCTCCTGTAGGCATCAAACACGGGCCGCTTGTAAGAACATATGTGCTTCAGTGCAGCTAAATTCACCTCCTCTGTTTGGCTTCTAAGCAAATCAAAAACCCTGTCTGACAACAGGTGCTGATTAATTATGCCTTTGTGCATGACTGCATTCACCAAAAACAATTCTTTGAAAGTTAGTTCTTTCTCGGATTTGATACAAAAGAAAGGATCTGACATGGGTTTTCCAAAATCAGGTTCATCACGTATCCTAAGCTGTTGTTTGGGGCTCTCATCTGGTACTCTTCGGTCCCTAAAGTAACCCATGGCCTTTCTCAGCTTCACACCACAACGAGGTGGAATTGAAATTCGATAAGTATTACACCTACCGATGGCCCCACTGGGTGTAAAATCTGTTGTACGAATCCAAGGATCATCATCGTCCAACAAATCAAACGGAACCGATTCTTCAATATCATCATCTGCAGTTCTATAGTAAACTGAAGGAGATGAAGCCAGTTGCATAACAACAATCAAGGAAAACATGTCGGTATATTGTTTTATGTCATTGATGTCTCTCACCAAGAACTCAACCTTAAAGTTGCATTTCATTACTGAATGTTTGTTCGAGTTTTTGAAAGAGAAAACAGTATCCCTTGTGAAAAGGAATTCGCACGTCTCATTAAATGGGTCCACAACAAAATCAACCCCAGTAGGAGGTCCTCTCCAACCAACAAAGAATTCATCTCGGCTAACCAAGTTGCCAATCTCAAGACGCACATCAGATAACTTGTGAGGAACCGTATTCCTCCTCCTCTGGTTCATGCTATGTGGATTATCAGGCCCCAAACTAACCTTCAAATGTTTCTTCATCAGTACAAGCTCACCACGCCCTGCTGCATCAAGTGCCAACTTTGCGGAATCAGGAGAAATAAAATGCAAAAATGCATGGGGTTCCACCTTATGATAATCATTCGTTCTTCGGATATCAGCACTGTCGATTAAAAAATTTGGGTATGATTCGGGAGGGGTTGATGAAGTCTTCAGTCTACACCTCCAAACACCTCCAATCTGATCTTCAAAGTAATCGAAGAGCATTTTTGCAGTGACATAAATACCGAAGCCACCAACACTAATTTGAGTTACCACCATTTCATTCTCACTTCCCTCTGAACCCATTCCGCCTGTTCACAAAATATTCAGTCAAATATCCAAAACTACAGATTATAATTCACTAATGCCCAATTCAACCTAATGCAAACCAAACATCTATAAGAGAAATATAAATAAGCTGAATCAACACCAACATTATAATCCAAAAATATAGGAAGCAAGGTTTTTCCATTATTTGACTGGGGAAACCTGCAATCATTGCAGATAAGGCATTCAGTTCAACAAGAAGTTAGTCAAGAACTTCTATGTTGGATTGGGTATCAAGAACTTCTTCTTGCATCCTCCTTTCCCTGAGAAATGAACAGACCAAGGCCTCAAAGAAGACAATTCTGGATGGGATCAAAAAGAGACTAGAGGATGCTAAGGGAATGTGGCTGATGAGTTGCCAAGTGTTCTATTAGCCTATGAGACAACATGGAGGAGATCAAAAAGTGAAACACCCTTTGCAATGGCATATGAAACTGAGGCAGTGATTCCATTGGAGGTCGGACTTCCAGGAATTAAGACTCGGCAAAGCTTGACCCAAGCATACAATAAAAGAGTGTAATCTCAGGAACTTGAGATTAGAGATTTGGTTCTCATGAAGGTTGTAAGAATTAAGAAAACTCCAACAGATGGGAAGCTGAGCCCAAACTGAGAAGGGCCATATGGTAACCTTGGTGGCCAGGGTTGGAGCATACAGACTTTAAGATTTAGAGGCAGAACAGTGCCTAGGCCCTGGAATGCAAGCAACTTGATAATTTTTTATCATTAGAAATTGTAATCTGACATTATAAAGTTAAGTGTTTGGTTTTGAAAATATTTCTTCCAAGTGTTGGCACATTACAAACCAAACAGTCAAACAATGTATTTCCGAAATGTTCATATTATCTCATCTTCCATGGCCGTTCAGCACCATCATTCTCAAGAACAAACAGGTTAAAGTTTTTCTCATCGTCACGTAAAACATTAACATACTTGAAGAACCGAAAAACCCTAACCTGCTTTTCAATTAGGATTGTTGTTAGGAGCATTTGGCAAGTTTAACAGATAGTAACCTTTGATATGGATAGATCCAGATTCTCTCATCATTTCTGTTCACACAATGGTCTCAAGGATTTTAAGACACAGTTTTTTCAGTTATTGAATATTTGAAATATGAAGTATGAACAAGAGTGCTTCTATACAGTTTGGTATTGTGGGGTTGGCAACATATTATTTTCCTAGAACAATTAATCATGATCCTCCATTTCGGCTTTCCAGGTGATCCCATCCATGCAGGAGTCTGGCAGGGGCAAACTAAATACGGACCTGACTTTTGGTATAATTTACTTAAGCTGGCTACCCTTAGCCTCAGACCAGGTTTCTCACACTTGACAACCCAAACTTAGACTATTGCACAAAGCAGTGACCGACAACAGTTCAAATAACAAGAGTAAATTTGTCGTCCCTTATTTCAAATGTTGATTGCTTGAATCATAAGCTCCAAAACTTGCCTTCTAGCTTTCTTTCTTTTAACATGGTTGGAGTGAACATGATCACAGAAATGCACACACTGCCAATCCAGCCGCAGATTCTGATTAAATTTGAATTTTAATTATACTACACTTCTCAACCAAGTTTGGCTGAAATTACAAATAATTTAACCAAATTTTACCTAGTTAACACAGTTTTAAATGGCAGTTTTCACCCAAACAATAGATTCTTGTGAATTTGGGCAGGTCTCTACTTTAGGGCAAAACTTTTTCAGTTCATATTATATTCTATTCGGTTTCGAGCATACAATTGGAAGTTAAATTTAGCAGGACAACATGATAGAAACTTAAAAATTAAAACAATAAAAGCAAAGAAATAGACAGTCTATGGAAAATAGAAACTGTTCAACATAAGATAAGAAAACATCTGATATTCTAAATAGGACTAATCTTGAATAATACAAGAAAACATAAACAGCACAACCAGTCAACTACGTAATATACTATTATGTTATGAAACACTCCCAATTTCTTAAAGAAAATGCACCTAACAGACTAAAACTCAAGCTGAATTGAAAACTAAAAAATTGCAACAAACTAAGAAATAAAGAAATTAATGCATTAAAGAACTGAAGGACAGTTTACCAACTGAGTTTGTAGGTTTGGCCATGGTTTTGTGCTTCCCTAGAGGCTAAATTTTGGGTAACCAGGCGCTATTGCGTCATTTACACTAACAAACTTGTGGAGAGTTAATTGACGAGACTTTATTTCCAAACTAAGCATGAATTTTAAAGCCGACTGTCAACTGACACTGTGGCCACTGTTGAAATACGTAGGAACTTTTAGTTTGTAAAAGATCTTTCTAGAATGGATTAAGTAAAAAAAGATTAAGCTTCCTTACTATATTCCAAGCAGCATAGACAACACTAACTACACCAACGCAATTGGAAGGAAACCATACAGCCTTACAACAGAAACCCGACATAGTTTGCCAAACAATAAACGAAAGAATATAGTATGGCAAATAATACAATAATATGTTAACATTGGTCATTTTGAAATGAAAGCGAAGGTTTACGACTTACCAAACCAAGTAAGAGTGCACTATTCACTGAAAAAAGCTTGCGATTTTGATCAACAAAGACTGCCAAACCTGCAGTGCAATTCTAATCAGGCCTAATGATAGATAAATGCATTTGTTAGCGATTGAAAGGAATTTTAACAACTAATATCAGACCATGTAGTTTCATTAAATGGAAAACAGTACCCAATGCATTGTATCTGTCAGTAGCTTATGACATGTAAAACAACAAAGCATCACCAATGTATATTATATTCAGTGGTGTCTTACAATACATGATTCAGATAAATATGATGCATGCGAATCATGTTATAAATGGAATGCATGTTATACATACATACTATTTGTCACAGTTCTAAAAGAAGTGATTTTGCAAAATGGCCTCATAACTGACATGGCATCCAAAAAGAGTTCATGCAATCGAGATCATACCATCAGGCCCCCCAAAAAATAAAATATTTTTACTCTAGAATATAATGACAGTAATGAGGTTTTCCAAAGAACAAAAAACAATGAAAGAGGAATTAAATTTGAACTTTCTTTTTTTGAATAATTATTATATAATTTTATGGTTCTCAAGGTACTTTCACATAAATGAAAGTATTCTGGGGTTTATCTTGGTTTTGTTTTCCTCCTCACATAAAGTACTCTTTTCCTTTTTCTTTTTCTTTTTCATTTTCTTTTTTAATATATATAGAAGTTCATCTATGTAATGCTATGAACGCCACAACTTAGAACTAAGCCCTTGGCTAACTATTAGGAGTTTGTTACATGAATCATGATTTTCCAACCAGTTCTATCTCAGGCCATAATTTTTGTCAAAGCATGCGATTCACTTGAAGCTAGGCTCTAAAGTAAAGGAATCCTTGACCGAAGTTGTAAGGATGAAAAAGGCCTAGTTAAAGGAAAGATCCCATAGCTAGGTGCACAACCTAGGCTCACCGAGAAGGTGAGGCATGCTTTAGCTAGATATGTTGTGTTAGAAAGTTCTTTTGGGAATGAGCAAGAAAAAAAGCTTGACTGAGGTCGCGGAGACCTTGAGTTTGGTGCACCGAAGGTATCTAGGATAGCCTTAAGATGTTGAGTACTTGGACGACCTGAGATGGTTAAAGAAGGGACTAGGTTCTTGTACCGAAGTAAAATCCCATGTTAGGGGGCATTTACTGTACAACGAAAGGACTAGTTCTCTAAACCAAGATAATACTCGCATCGAGGGGCATTGACCAAGATAATGCTCACATTAGAGGGGACATTGAAAGGCAAGAAGTAGTGACAAGGTCCCACAACGGTGATAATGATCGCATTACTGGGCAGCGGTAAGAACTTCACAAAAATTCAACCATTTTCAAGCATGGGAGATATAAAGACAAGTGTTGGCAGACAAAGAAGTTCCATTGCTTGAAAAAGTAGAGTACATTGATAGGCTGCTCGGCCTTACATAATCCTCCAAAGTGATTGAGCACCAGGAAAAGAAAAAAGAAAACAAAAGAACCTAAGCCCAAGGGTGGCTTCAGGATCTGTAGTTACTGGCGTTCTCAGCATCGGCTCTCACATTGGCAATGGTGAGGCCAATTATTCCCTCTTCCAATGTGAGAGATTAAGCAACAGGGACATTTGGTTCAAACTTTCTGACCCGGATTAACTAATTATCAAGAGTCTTTTATCTTGCATGTGCGGGATTAGTTTGTTCCACGGGAAGGGAAGAGACCTAAGACACACAAACACTTCCAAGAAGGTAATGTGTCATGTCCGCCACCAACACAACATGACACTCATCAGACACTTCCCAACACTTAGACACACATGAAACGCATTACAAGTCTAAATTAAATAACTTAAAATTTAAAGATTAAAAAAAAATAATGTAAATTTATACAAGTTCTCCTCGTTTTGACTTTAAAAATTATATTTGACTAAATATTCATGCATATGACATATAATAATAAATACATAAAACCATATATTTTGCACGTGTCCCCCACGTACGGTATCCTATATATTTTGCAAATTTATGTGTCAACGTGTTGGTATTGTGTTCATGTCATGTCATGTGTCCATGTTTGTGCCTCTTAGGAAGAGACAATTGATCTCAACATAAAACTTTTGTTGCAAAATTTCAAAAATCTCTTCATGATAAGTCATCCCAGAATTGTAATCCTGAGATAACTTATTCCGCCTAATCCTGTCCGAGAATCAAACGTAGCCCACAAGATAGGGAAATACAAATGACCAAGAGATTAGTTAGGTGATATTAGAAGACCAAACATAATGTTTATCAAGAAATATTAAGAAATAAATAATTAATAATATAAAAAGCCAACTAATGCAATAAATATGTTCTTAATAGTTAATGAGCATAACACTAGAAACAAAGATAAAGAAATAACAGGCCCAAAAAAAGTTATGGAAGTAAGCAATGACAACAATAATAAAATTTTGAGTAAATCAATCAAACATTATAAATTGGCAATCAAAAGAAAGAAGGTAAAAGAAAAAACTATGCATTATGCATAGCAATCCTTCCTGCTATATCCATTTCATGCAAATTTTCCAAATTAGAATCCCAAATACTACAAATAATCCGTTTACTTACAAAAATGTCCACACAAGATCAATGTGCTACAGGGTACACAAGATCAATGTGCTACAGGGTACAAAAAGATTGCTTAGGAAACCAATAAAGGGTAGATTAAGAATCAATGTGCTACAGGGTACACAAGATCAATGTGCTATAGGGTACAAAAAGATTGCTTTAGGAAAACAATAAAGGGTAGATTAAGAATACATTGCAATGGAAACTTCGAAACCCATATACTAATTTTTAGTAGATAATGGATATATTTCCTAGCAATGAAGTACAGGTAGCAAACTCAACCTGAAAATGCACCTAATTATACCCATTTAAATCCGTCCAAATTTATAATTGGTTTAAAATGAGTTGCATCTTGCAAACTGCATTAAAATTATATTTAAATGGGTTGGGTATGGGTAAAGTGTTGTCAATATCTTATGATTCACGATACATACTTTACGATTCCGTACTTTTTAGAGGTAAATCGATACTATCATCAATACGAATCTTAAATTAAATGTACCTCATGACACATATACGATATGTGATACATGACGGGATACATATGTTACATGAATACTTAAAATTCTTTAGCAATTTTGAAAAAAAGAATGGAACTTATTTGACATAAATTAATATTTTCAGAAATTTTTGTTAAATTATTAAAAAGGAATATTTTTTTTACGAGAAAAGTAAATTTAGTTTATATTTTGTCTAACATTTTGAAAAATTTCTACTTTTATGTTATTAAGTATCTAGTTTTTTTTATTTATGCGTACTTACATGATTAAAGTTTAAAATTTTCTACCATGGACAAGACAAGCCATTTAGAAACTTGAAAGTTGTAAATAAAATATAACCACTTAATTTGAGAGCGAACACAATATATAAGATATATTACGCAATTAATGATATTTGAAGGTAAATTTCATTTGAGAAGTTAATAATGTACGGAAATACTATTTTTTTTTATTATATATGATTTAACTTCGCTATGCAAGTTATATGCATCAATTATTGATGCATGCATATCTTTAATTTAAGGAACCTTATTTCAGCAATTTTAAGAATTGTACATTGTTTAATATTTTATTCTCACAAAATATTTAGTTTTTCTATAACTACATTTATTTTTCTACCTATTTTAGAAAGTGTTGATACAATACGCAGTTCAAAAAAAAAATATAATGCACAATTCATAACTAGATTTGGCAATTCATACCACCGCCACTCCACCACTACCACCATAGCCGCCGCCGCTGCCACAACAACCAACACCATCAGCTATTAAAAAACAATCTACTAAAATAAATAGGTTGATTAGGTTCATTTGCTCCACTCATATCCAATTCAACAAACCCGCTTAAGACCGTGTATTAAATGAGTGGGTTTAGGTTGGATTGTTTTACTTGCCCAAAATCCACCCATTTGCCACCTCTAGAATGAAGCAATTGCATAATCTTGTTTCAAAAAGTGTACATTTTGGGTGAGCTGAATCAAACTACCAAATCAAAAGAACATACCCAAGAGTAAATAACAAACACAAATACACAGACTTTCTAAAAACAAACAAGTTCAACAATTACTGGAATGGTTCATCAACTGAGATCAATCAATTGTGAAGGCAAAGACAACTCAAATTAATAGATGAGAAAAAGAGAAAAAAAGAAAAAGGCAAAGATAACTCAAACTTTATGTGAATGCTTCATCAATTAAGATCACTTACAAGCATAACACAAATTTGAATTTTCACACATTCAGTTGATGATGAAAAGTAGCAAAGAAAATAAAAGAAAATACACTAAAATTTAAAATCTATGGAATTCAATCAATTTTGGACCCAAAAACAAAAAATCAAACCTTCACAAATCTGAGCCTGAAACAAGTACTGGGCTTGGTTCATTCACTAAAAAATAAGCCAAAACAACATTGATCAAAGAACGTAAAAGATTCAACTATTTACAGAGAAAACCACCACATATATACATATATATACAACAGATATATCAAAATTTGATGTAAATTGATATGAAAAGATCAAATTTGAGAAGCAAAACTAACCTGCCAAGTGGATCAAATTTGAGATGGAAATGATTTTAGTGAAAGAAGTTGATAGCCAGTGTGTGAGAGTGAAGCAAGTAAGGAAAATGATGACTTGCTCCGACTTATATAGGCTCTGTGTTTGATTTAAAGTTTGGGAATTGGGTTGGATTAGTAATTCTTGAGTTTCATTTATTACGTCATGTTTGTTTGTGTAAACAAAAATGTTTGATAACTCTAAAGCAAGAGTGTTAAAGGAGCTCTAAATAGGTGGTCTTACTTGTGATGTGATATTTTTTTTTTTTTGGGGGAAGTGATACATACCCTTCAAATCAAAAATGTTTTAGAGCTTTAATATAGGAGTTCTAATAGCTCTAATGGGAAGGTAGGTCTCATCCCGATGTGATGTTTGTCCCTTGTTTTGTTTTGTTTTTTTTTTTTTTTTTTTTTTTTTTTTTTTTACTTTAACACATCATTAGAGCTCAAATTAGAGCTCTATATTTAGAGCTCTCTATCATTTCCCCCCTTCAAATATACATTGGCAATGAAAAAAAACAAATAAACAAATAAGACATAAACATCGCTATCACTGTGAGACCCACACCATTAGAGCTCTCCCATTAGAGTTCTCAAAAATTTTTTTTTTTTTTAAACATTGTCATATCATTAGAGCTCATATTAAAGTTCTCCTAAAACTTTGTATCATTGCTGTTGTGTAAAAATGGTATGGGATTTCCAATTTTATTGGCACCATTTTAATTTCTTTGTTTGGTTCATGAATTTACATGCAAAGAGATTTAAAAACAGAAATATATATATACATATATATATAAATTTAAAATTTAAACACAATTTAATAATATATATAGAGGGGAGAGATTGCTATTTGAATAAGATTTTTGTCCTTTATTTAAAAAAAGAAAATTGTTTGAAATTTGACTTTTTTTAATATTTTTAAATTTTTTTATAAAAAAAATATGAAAAAAAATAGAGCTAATGAATTAATTTTTTTACTTAAATATTCGCACTCTCTTAATCTCAATTAATTAATTAATACCATCATACGATTACATAAATAAACATATTTCATTTTATTTTATATTTTTAACCTAATAGTATAATAACTCTCCTCAAGAAATGTTAAATACTTTTAATAGGAAATTCTAATTTACCTCTTTAAAAAAGATGTTTTATATGCACTTCTAACTATATTTTTTTTTCTTTAGTTATTATCAATTTTATTCCTTAATTATGATATTATTTTAGTTATGACTCGTAAATTTTTTAGTTAGATATAATACTTCTTTTTTTTTTTAATTATGACTCATAAAATTAACGTTATGTCATTTTTGTTTTTAATTATAAGATACATATACGGTGTGCACCATAGTGTTTACCACTTTCAATTCACTGATTAGAACATAAAAAGTATTGGATCTCATGTAATTGAGTTTATGACAAATAAAAAATTGATACATAGTGTCATTATGAGTGCAATTATAAAATTCAAGAATCAATTTGTCTTCAATCCATAGTGGACTAGACAGTGTTATTTGGGTATATGGGGTTCATCATGTGTCACGCCTCAATAATTGAAATCATTCATTTTTTAGATTCCAACAGTTAGATTATCCATAAAAAAGATTAAGATACTTCAATAACCGTAACCACGTTAATTTATGAACATTTATTTGCCAAAAAAAATTTAAAACAGTATCTATTTTTTTAAAACTAAATGTAATAAATTAACGTGATTATGATTATTCAATCAACTTAATTTTTCATAAATAATCTACATATTTTAATTAAAAAATAACAATTCAAATCAAATATTTCAATTCCACTTTGCTTGGTCCGCAAGAAGTTAGGAAAGACTTTCTTGACTTACCTGTTGCCTTTTGCTTTTCTTGGTCCCTAAGAAAGGAGAGTGAGAGTGAGAGTGAGAGTGAGAGTGAGAGTACAAATGTGGGTCGTTCCACGCGGGAAGGAATTTGCTTTTTTCCGGGTACAACGAAAGTGGGAATATTCCTCTCTATGGGTCTGTTTGGAAGAAAGGAAAGGAAAGTTTATTTGCTTTCAGAATATGTTGGAAAAGAAAAAAAAAGGAGCAACTCCCTCCAGTCTGCAACTCTCAAATGTTGTGTTTGGTTAGGGGATTTAGAGAGGGATTTAGAAAGAGAAATGAAAAAGGTAAGTGAAATGTGAATAAAATATATATACATTTCACATAATTTCACACTTCTTTTCCCTTTTCCCAAATCTCTCAACCAAACACACCATAAGACTACTTTGTAAGCCTTACAGGATTCAGGTAGTGATTCGAACAGTTAATGTCATGACTCTTAAAGTGAACAATACACAAATTAATCAGATATTAATAAACACTAACTACTTAAATTTTATTTTATAAAAATAATAGTAAATATGATTTTAAACTAAAGCGTTTATTTCAGAAAACAAAATATAATAAGAGTATCTCTAATGGTAAATACTATTATAACATTGTTAAAGTTATAATTTAGCATGTTATAATAGCAAATTATCAAATTATAACAATATTGTTTCAATGGTGCAAAGTTATTTTGGGAAATTCTAATTAGCTTTCGTTCTTATTTTTTAGGTGGTGTTTGAATGTAGTTTATTGAGGGTTTTTTTTTTTTTTTTTTTTTTTTGGGAGTCTTTTATTACCTTTTTAAAAAAATTTTTAAAAGAAAAATTAAATATTTACATTCTACCCAACTAGACAAATATAAAAAAATTAAAAATTTAAAAATATAATTAACCTCACCATTCACATATCACTACAAAATAAAAATAAAAATAAAAATATTACCTACATTAAAAATACCCAATTCTAGAACCTTCATCGACCCAATTCAATTAAAAAAATTATATATTATCCAATTCAATACCCAATTCTAGAACCTTCATCAGCCCAATTCAATTAAAAAAAATTATTTCGACTCGCTAGGGTAAGTAAAAATACCCAATTCTAGAACCTTCACGGGCCAATTCAATTAAAAAATTATTTTTGATTGGTTAGGGTGATTACCCAACTCTCTCATTTCTAGAACCTTCACCAAGCCTCCTCATCCAGTCTTTCCTCACAATCTACGTGTTTTGTTTCAATTTTTTGAATTTAATTTTTTTTAAATTGAATTTTTATTTTTCGTATTTTTTTATTTTTAGTAAATATTTTTATTTTTTTATTTTTTTAGATACACTTTATATAGATGTATCTAAATAGTAAGATATTTGTGAAAAAATATTTTAAAAAATTAATAAATACACAAAAATACAAAAAATGTATTGAAGTTTTGTACTAGTAAATTTTTTTTAAGATTTTTTTTTTTCACAAATATTATACTTTATAAGTGTATTTATATTAAGGGCTAGTTTGACATACACTATAAAAGCCAAAAAGTTATCAAAAAAATAAAAAAGTTAACACTATTTGCCTATGTTTTGACAGAAAATCTGTCGGATAAAAAAAAAAAAGAACTCAATGCGGGTTGTGTAGCCTATTTTATAGCAGCCATAATTTCCCATAAAAGTGCAAAACGTGGCACAATGTAAACCACATTCTCATAAAATAAAATAAAAAAATTAAATTAAATTAAATTGAAAGGAGAGAGAAAGTCAGCACAGCAACACTGACTGTGTCAGGAAGGATAATTTGATAATTTTTCTATTTGTTACAATATTTTAATACAAATTTTTTCATAAAAAGTCAAAAAGTTATCACAAACATATCTTTTTTTCCTCTACTTTTTTTTACCAAAAATTCAAAAAGTGCATTTATTTAGAACACCCAACCAACTCCTAAGTGTGTCTAAAAATTAAAAAAAAATTGCTTAAAATATTAAAAAATATTAGTGAAAACAAGAAAATATGGAAAACATAAAATTTTCTAAAAAGTGAATTTTAAAAACTAAAACTAAACTGAGTAAATGTCTCTCTCTCTCTCTCCATCCTTCTCTCTCGTCTTTTTATCAAAACCCCACCACCACCACCACCACCATCACAATTTAATACCCAACTCTCTCATTTCTAGAACCTTCTCATTTTGTCTTTTCTCACAAAAATAGCATTTCTCTTTCTCTACCTTTCTCCCTAGTCTCTTTTCTAAAATCGCACCACCACCAAATAGAGGATAGAAGAAATCAAAGATCACATATCATTCTCCGTCACAAACCCTTTCTCTCTCTTCCGTTTTAAAAAAAAGGTACACCCTTGATATTTGGGTTTAATACATATCACTCCCTGACGTTTGAGAAATTACACTAATCCCCTGTCATTATAATTATTTAGACAAAATGAAAAATTGAACTCATGCACTCTTGCTTTTCTTATTTTGTTTAACTTCCTTTGTTTGTTTTTTCTTTTTCTTTGCTTTACCTTTTTTTTTTCAATGTAATTTTCTCTGTTTTTTTACTAAGAGTTGTTGCCTTTTATATAAGGAGGGAGGTTTGTGAAAATGAGACTATTAACCACTAGAGTGGAAATGTAATTTCTAGAATGTTAGGGGATGGAATGTAATTAGATCAAATCTTAGGAGGTGTTAGTGTAATTTACCCTAAAAAAAATAAAATTTGTGAATTTGGTTTTGCAAAAAGGGTTTGGCTTCTCATCTTGAGCGAGCATTTGGATTTGGTAGGTCCATTTTAGAATCAATTTTGATGATTCGAATTGTTCATTTTTTAGATTTGTTGAATAGGATATTCATGTAAAAAATAAGATGGTTGGATATCGGTAACTATATGTTTAAATTATATTTATTTTAGAAAAATAGACGACAAATATAATTTTAAGAACAACCATTTATTTTTTGTAATACGAATTTGATTCAAACATATAGTGTTGGAACAATCTTCTGTGAATAATAAATAAATTGAAACAAATCAAATAAATAAATTACGTACTGAATTTATTTTTACCGAACCAAATGAATATTTTAAAAAATCAAGTCGAGTGTGTGACATTCTGTCCTTAAGACAGATTCGCCCCACTTCGGTGCTTACGGATTTATGGCGTCTATCTCCCAAGATACAATGATCTTCAGAAATTGTAGTGGCACTCCAAACAATTTGTTCGGCAAACAAAAACCTTGTGTTCTATACTCTCTTTAATTTTTTCCTAAACAATTAATATGAAGAATAATGCAAATGAGTAAAATAGGAAGGAAACAA